TCACGTCAGCAAAATTGTTTTTCTTTTTGTATTACTAAACATATGATATAAATAATCACTAATAAAAGTGTTCTACTATTCAATTCTCAACTCTTAAGTATACTGAAATCAAACGGTTTTTCCTTCTATCTTAAATAGATTTAAAATATATGAGCGGAAGTTTTCAAATAATAAAAACACTCAGTCAGAATGATATCAGTGTGTTTAAACACAAATTTTCTGAATAGGATCTGTTACTGTGAAGACATTTTTAATGTTTAAATATGATTACTTTCCGTATGATATATTCTGCTGTATATTAATTATTTTTTCTTTTTTTTGATGGAGTTTTGTTCTCTGAGCTGGATGGTTTAATCTTGGGGCTTTCGTCGTTCTTTTAGACAGCATCATCAGCACAAACTTCAGGTAGGAGTGAAGTGTTCGAATTTCTCCATATGTGGTTCACAGCTTGTCCAGTAGATCTCGATGTTGATTGGTTCTTGTTGACCTTAAACCTGTCATTTTCATTGATGATTTTGTTCAGAAGAACGATGAAAACTCCATGACCGAACCATCCAGCTCAAAAAACAAAACTCCTTCAAAATCATTCACCTGAGCTACAAATCTTCTTACCATCTCTTAATCTTTTCTTTTTTTGAAGACGTTTATGAAAATTTAATTAGAGATTCCCTGTATATATTAGTTTAGTATATCATCTCTATGTTTCAAACTGGAGTTGAATGAATTTTTAGTGCCCTATAATGTTTAGCATACATTCAGATGATATCAACTGGTAATGATAATTATATAACCCATCGACAACATGACTATACACAATTAAATTTATTGCTGTTATAAATCTGTACTAAGAAGTACATTAGATTTTATGGTTCTTAATTCAGAGAGTTCTTAAAAAAAATATTTATGTTACCAAATGTTGGATTAAAAAAGTCATAAATGCCACAAAATAAACTGAAATCATATTAGCATCAATCAAACATTTAGTTAAATAGCATCGTGTAAAACAATTTATTTCTCATCATGCCAGATAAATTCAGCAACAAGATAGTGATAATGAAGAAACATTATACAGTTACTGTCTGAAATATCAGTTACTTATTTGAGCGATTCGCTAGAATATTATAAATTCCATGTAATTATTTTATAAACTTGATATAAGTTAACGAATAGCCAAAATCAGTAATCATAGAAAATTATTTTATTATAAAGCAGTGTTTATCAACGTAATGCGACTCTTATATCATTCAGGCTATTGTTCAAAATTTATCGGGTACGTTTCTTATTTTCGTCATTTTAAAATGTAACTAAATGCTCATCTAACCAGTGCTTTATTGATTTTCATTGATCTTTCAACTGATTTAACTGATTTAACGTCCAAATTTATTGATATCAAACTGCAATCAACCAACAACATCGCTTGCCCATTGTCCATTGTCTTCGCTGAGTAACCTCTTGGTTCTCGAGAAAGCTGAATTGTACTGGTCTTGGCTTCTCACAAGGATTCCAGGAATTTATACTTGTCACTATAGAGTTGTGAAGATTGTTGAGCTTCATTGAAGTTATGAGTTGACCAGTGTTAAACCATTAATGAAAAAAAACAGATTGTGAGGACCCTAAAACTGAAAGAAATAAAACGTCGCTTATTTTTACTTTTTTAATACCTGTGATTTTAGGTGCTTTATCGAAATAAAATAGTCAGTTGCATCAAGTGATGTTTTGTACAGTGTATCCATGGACTTTAGATTTTCACATTCGTCAGTCGTTATGCAGGTTAATCGTAGTAATTGTAATGATTCACTTCGATGGGTTCGATAATTATGAAAAATATATATATGCTTTAAATCTTCATAGTTTATAACACTTTAAAAAGTATTTTGTGAATGCTATTCATTTAGGATGATAATATAGATTTCCTAACACAGTAATTCTTATCCTGCCTTCCCAACATCAATTAAGTTGAACAAATTGGGAAAGGATATATAGATGCCACAGATATTCGGAGTTTGACAATACCTTTACCTGCAGCATTTTTCCAGCCGAAGAATACCAACCCATTCAAATCAGAGCTCATAAATCAAGGTATTTGAAGATATATTCTACAGGTCATTAATAAATCGAGAAGCATTTGATCTAAGCAGGCTAGTAGATGTAAGGGATGAGTAGCACGGTGTATCCATTAGTGATCTGGTGCGGACGAGTGACTGAGGGCTTTCAGCGAGGGTGTGTTCAGTACAATTATTGAGGTCAGTACCAATGTCGAAGTCAAATAGGACTATTTATTTCAGAAATTCATTTACCGCTACAGACAATGTAATAATTTTCTGGTCAGTTAATTTATATATTACAAATAGAAATTTTCCAGTTTTATTTGTATAGTATTCATACTTCATTTTAGCTTTGTGAAATCATAACCAACTAATTATATTGATAATTACGTTATATTATAAGGTGACCAACTTTGGATAATGTAATAAGATGTCGAAGATTATCAGAACTATGTGATATATTAGGGCAATACATTTCGAACAATCTAATCACATATATACTTGTTAAGAACATCTATACTTTCCATACTCTCCGTTCGTTTATTTTTTATTCACTGTCATTTTTTCAAATATTCACTTCACCGCCTAACTATTTGAACACTTAGTATTACGCCATTTTATTATTTTTAATCAATGTTATTTCAGTATTTTTTTTTAAAGTCATCGACCAACTTCCTATTACAAAACATTAATTCAAGTATTTTTATTCTTATCACAACTAGTACACTAGCCATCATACTACTACTTTGTACTTTTCGCTTATTATATCTAGTTACGTAATCTATTCCACTGTTATCATTGGCTCATAATCTGCCTTGATTGGTTTAATAATTTCGTATATGCATATAAATATTACTGTATATTAAGGCCTGATGAAGATCTAATCACTTATATATGTTGTTCTAAAATAAAAACAACCAATTAGGATCCATCGCTAATTCTAATAGTGTTGATATTTTACTGTGAAAAAAAACAGCCATATTTAAGAAATTAGTATTATAATTTCGCATTATGTGAAAATTTACGTTCTAAAATTGCTCATTGCTGAGAAAAAGCTCGAATATTCAAATTATTAGTATGGTTTAACTAAACCACTGTAGATCGATACAAACCAAAATAGTGTATGAACTTAAAATCATTTCATTTCATATTACCCCCCCCCCTTATTGCCTTTGATTATTATGACAAAAAAATTTAGACGCCTCGCTTCATTCACATTAAAATACGTTGCTAATTTATTGATTTTAAACGAGATCATGAACTGATCAATGTTAAACCACCACTGAAAACCTGAAAGCACTGGATAGCCATTTAGTCCAGTCAGTTCATGTCGTCCCATGATATCTTCATACTCCATATTGTCCATTCCAACTTCGGCGTTTAAGCCTCCGATCAGTACGGTCACGTCCTTTCTTGATCACTTCTCTATGATCGATTGCAGCCTCTCATAAAACTATTCTTTATCATCATCATCATAGTTATTATCGTTGGATGGTGTATAACGTTGGATAACATTCATTGTGATTCCTCTTTCTTTGTTTTGAAAGATGATTTGATGAACCTGTGTCCATGAGATTCTAATCGTACAAGTGCTTTACGTATTTCTTTGGATAGCCTCACGACGACTTTCGTCCTCGTGACCAGAGTACAGTAGCATCTCTCCCGAATCCATCCTTTCTTGTCAAGCTTCGGTCTAATGTGTTTCAGGTATTCTGAGCACTGCCAAGTTGTATCTCCTCATTTTTGTAGCTAGTTGATTAGTTCTCGCGTCTACCCACATTTTCCAAAGATTCCATGTACCTATAAATTTTTTTGCTCTGGTTGTTAGAGGGGGCATCGGCCTTGTGACTTTTGAGGAATCTCAGCTTTCACTATGAGACGTCATAATAATTCTGAATAAAGATCCTTCAACTCCGAGAGCAGAGTTCAAGTGGTGTAAGTTGTTTAATCTGGTTAGCGTTTTTAGCAAAATTATTCTCTACAGGATGGCGTTGTTGACCTGATGCATAACCCTCATTTGTCACCCGCGTTTGGAGTCGGTAATTAACCTGGTAGTACCCACTACACTGATTACGAATTTTACAAGGCTTCCTATAAGCATACACACTATCATTTATTGTTATTATTAAGTAATTATTATTAAGTAATTTAGTTTTATAATCTTTTATTACGTCATCATGTTCATTCCTTGTTCACATGTCCTTACGGAACTAATGATTTAACAAGATTTTATGTAAAATTTTGAAAACTCGTCTGGGGATAATGTTCATACATTAAATAACACGAAGTTTAACAAGGGGATACTAGATAGATCCCTTTGTTAAACTTCGTGTTATCAACCCACTTTTTTCACGAATATTATAGAAAATTATGAAGTAAAAATGAAATTTAAAATTGGAAGATAAAGATTTTGTATGTAATATTTAATGTATGAACATTATCCCCAGACGAGTCTTCAAAATTTTACATAAAATCTTCTTAAAGACAAATAAAAGTGTTAGCAGAATTTAGGATATAAACACCAGATCACCGATAGGATTAAATAGAGTTCACGTTTTATATAGTGAATCTGTTAAAGTTGAATGCATTAATTATTAGATCATTACTCAATGGCTGAAAGTAAGTCATACTTTTCGCGAGACTCAGTCATCGTAAGGTCGACAGGTTTGTGAAATAATTTGAGGGCATCACTGACCAATAGTTCTTGACTAGTCAGATCAATGATGTTGTTCTTATTGTTCCGTTCATGACTATTAGTCTTATCATTATTATTGGCTGTTCTATTAATGACAATAAATACACTACTGATAAATAAATTACCACTGTTCCCCCAGATACAATTTGAGTATTACATACCACTTCATATTAAAAATTAACTTCATTTTAGCATTCTTGTATCAAAAGACCTAGATATACAACTATGTGGACAGAAATATAGATTAAAAACAACATAGCTACCATTTTTAGGAAGTTTATTACATTTATCTTAACAAAAATATGCCATTAAACAAATTTCAATAGTTCACAAATTATTTCTTATTCAAACAACTTAAAACACATGAACTGGAATCAATAAATAAGACAAAGCCGGTATTGGTAGACAAAAACTGTTTAATCTCTTATCTTGACAGAATACAAATGCATGCATGCGTGAATGATTTCGTACAGATTATTCAGCTTTTGGTGAAGCAGCATTCTATTTGAAAACAGATAAGAAAAGAAAAGAAATAAGTGTCACACGATATCTGAGTTTGTTGAAAAAATCGTTGGAAAATCTTAATGTAAGCATACATTTAATTGTGATTGATGTTTCAAATATTTGGACGAGTTACGAACAGATTCATGCCTGCTATATTCAGTACAAAGAATGTAAATATTTATACAAACAAGCCAACATAGATTCAATACTAGAGGTGTCTGATTTAAAAAATATCCATGTTTAGTGATAAGGGAAAAAACTGGCCAATCATATATATATCAACCATCTCTTCAATCTCTGATGCCTAACCCTTCAAATAAACAAGTCAGATAACAAACGCTTCTTTAAAGAGTCAACATTAGTAGTTAGTGATTTCACGTACAGACAATATGTCTTACTCTATCAATCGTTAATAACGTTTTTTCAACCTAGTTTTGCTCTAGTCATCAAATATCAACTGCACTCAAATAGCACATCCAGCAATCACTCGAGATGACAAAATTTCATATTATCTGCAAATTATCAAATATTAATTGAACATTCAAATTCAATGGCGTATATTGTATGATTTCATGATGTGTAAAAAATGACGTGACGTTTTCTCTTATTATCGACCTTGATCACTGCTAGACACCATCCGTCTCTATCTATAAAACTTGGTATTATTTATTCAAAAAATAAATGTAGACACAAGTATCACGTTAAAAGGGAAGTATTTATCAAGTTGATAGATCTTGTAGTTGTAGAATAACGAATTGTGACAAATATCGAGGATTTAGTAAGAATTATTTATCAATTTGGTTTTGATAAGTAAGTAAACATTCTATAAAGAAAATCGGATGACGAGAATAATATTTTCTGACATTTTTGACTGATTAGTATAGTAAATATTTTTAAGGTTTTAACGTGTTTTCCATAGTTAGGAGGTGATTCTAATCACAAGATGGAGCCAATTGTAGGGCATTAAAGACTTTCACTTCTCGTCATAAAAACACATTGCTTCACAATTTGAATCTGGTGAAATTTTTGATCTAGTGTCACTATTAATTAGTCTTATCAGTAAGTTACTATCTCATCATCAACGTGGCTAACTTCATTTTAACGTTATTCGCTAGTGACATCATGATTGTTTTTTTAAGCCTGGTGATTTTTGCAAAGATGTCGTATGACGTAGTCGGGTTAAAATACGTCTATCATTTGATGTTTTTAATGTATGCATAATTAATGAATAACTCACGTCGTCCGTGCTTAAAAGTGTTTTGACGAATTCATCCAAAGTAATTTTGCCATCATTATCATGATCAAATTTTACCATAAATTTCTGTATATTAAAAATAATAAAGAATGAAAGATACAATAGTTTCAAGTTAAAGAACAGAAAATATATCAATCTAAAGTCATAATTTGTCATAAAAATCCAGATTACTATAGAACTATATGCTTCATTTTACAGTTCAGTGTATTACAGGAAAAGATTTCTACTGTTGAAATTAGTCTGAAGTCATCAAAATATATTAATTTTATTCATAAAAATGCACTAATTGTTAGCGGACAATTAACATACGTTTGAAAATAAACAATACGTGTGTGCTATGGATTAGTATTTTTCATAAAAGTAGATGAGTTTAACTCTACAGTTTGCATTTTTTTTTTCTTTATCTGATATCCTGTTGTACTATTGCATCAGTTTACGTTTTGATAATTGTATAAGTTTAAAATCGGTATCAGTTTATTAGACGTCCTTAACTTTTTAGAATACTGTCTAGAATCAATGCACTTTGTTGAGTAGTTCTAAACTAGAATAAATCAGTTATTAAGTAAAGTTGGTTGGTACTTAGAAAATAGTCATAACATTAATAGCTTGATTTAACTCTCAATTCTGAATACTTTTAACTCTTAAATAAAAAATTTTTTAATGAAGAAAAATAACAAAAAAAAATCATCAAGGTTATGTGGATAATGCGATGTCTGTTTGGATGTTTACAGAGAACAATGATACCAAGGTATTTTAAAACAAATGTGAAGATTAGAAACTAAAAAGTAATTATGTCTAAACATATTAAAAATGTTTAAAAATATAAATAAAAGAGTTATTAGTACTTAAGTGTTTATTTCTTTTACTACGTTTATAGAATTTGTGAGATTTGTATGCGACTTAACACAGTTCTATACGTTAAATAGGATCAGAACATAGAAGGTAGTTTATTCAGTGTGAACACTTCAAAAGTTATTTGTTTCTCATTTATACTATCCTGTATTATTTATTAAGTTGTTAGATCCAAAATTAGATAGTATAACAAACTTATAACAGCTATAAAAACATTAGACTCAATCTGTTATGAGGACTCTTCAGCGATATGAACTCACAATCTCACAGAATTCTAGAACCTTTAGATCCTAAATTGAACAAAATATCTTCGGATCATTTGGGGACAAACCAACTTTAGACATTTTGCTGATTTCATTTTAATGTCACCTAATGATATCTGAGATGACCAAAATCTAACAGTCACGACTTCAAGAAGAGTCCATAAAGTTCGAAGGTATGGGTATAAAAAAACAATATAAAGTCAGCTTATTAATTCTATAATAATAAAAGACGGAAAGCTAACTTACAGAAGCTAAGGATTCTGGAAACCCTTGAACTAACAATTCCTCTTTGAATTCCTTCAATGTCACTGAGCCATCTTTATCCTTATCTAATTCTTCGAAACGTTTTTTTAACTCGTCGATCTTTTTCTCCATAGTCGTTTTAAATGGGACTGTTAAAAAGTTAAAAAAGTTTGAATTTATTTCAAAAGGACAAGTTAGATAAAAGCAATTTAATATTAACGTTTGTATTAAATGTTAACGTGAGTTCGCTGTAATCATTCGCCTGGGATAAGACCTAGACTAACTCTGGAAGATTCCCTTCTGACGAGAACTATGTCTATCAGTTAATTAAAAACTACAATAATGATTGAGCATTTCAACATGAAAACTGTGTCTGTTGTATGTCGAAAATGAAATACTTGCTAAATTCTCTATTCTTTTCAAGCATTGCTTTTTACTAAAGCAAACTTCTAGGAATTCGTTAAACCATAATTCAACAAAAAACCATAACAGCTAGCAAACGACTGAGACTATTGAACAGATGATACATGCTTACTTTTACTCAAATATTTTTATGCTGTTTAAGTGACAATCGAATTATTTTTATTATTGGTCCAGGATATTTGGATGCCAATCTCACACGAAGTTGTTGGTATGTAAGATTGGGTAATTTGAAGGTTACAATTGAGATATCGAACTGTTTCTTGTTTTTAGCGGTAATGGAAAAATCATAATCTCCAAGTAGTATGAAGTCAATAAAAAACTGCCTTAGTAAATAATGACCAAATAATCACTCTTGAATGGCTTCAAAATAAGTTCCTCACTTTTTTGATATACCACGAGCGATAAGTTAGTTTACTGGATAAACTTAATGATAACCACACTAACAAACTGACCGAAACTAAAAATCCATACCTTAGTGTTGTGATTTATCAGCATGAAAGTCGTATAATCATAATAAACCCAGAGGTCCTGAGTTCGATCCCATATGAGTTTGTTGGGGATTAGTACTAAGTGTTTTAAACTAGAACAACTTTACAGAGCTAACTGGCTTTTTAGTTATTTCAAAAACTTGGTGTCATGGTCTAATGAAAATCATTACTATCGATAATGGAAGTCTGAAAAATAATCACAAATAAATGAATAATTTAACAACACTTACATAGATGGATGCGCCTCCCATTTTCTGGCTTATGTATATTATAGTGAAGCATTTTAGTATACGTAAACTGTTGGTTTATATATATATATATATATATATATATATATATATATATATATATATATATATATAACCTAATTAACCTTGTTTTACGCATACTTTCATAGATAAAAATAGGCTTCTATATTACATTAAAAAATGCTTTGTTTAGTTTATTAATAACCATTATATTTTTTTGCGGTTAATTAGTGTATTGACAAAGATCATGGCTTTATTTTTGTACCATCTCATAAATATAAAACTTAGTTGTTTCATAAGTCGTACAATTAGTGTACATATAAGTTAAATTTACTTCGTATACGGACTAAAATTCACAACAACGACACGTTTGTCTCATTCGAAACTCTTCATTTACATACCTAGTGTTTATGTCCGCACGGTATTCAAATCATGTGCCTATCTCTCAGGTAGCTAAAGCACTATTCAGTAAACAAAGGCTAATTAATTTATCAACATTGTGTGTTTTTCTTTAAGTACTTTGCTCAGATTTAAATTAGACCCACATAATTTGATTCAATCTATAATTGTTGAAAAGTTGACTAATTTATTTTGAAGTCTGGCTGTACCAAACATGGGGAATAAATAAGTACTTTGAAGATATTTCATTCTTATTTAATTACAATATCATTTGACTATTCCGCCAAAAAATAAGTTAAGGACTGGCGCTCTCAGAAAGCCTCTCAAGTATTTCTAAAGTAAGCTCTAGATTTACAAAGACATAGATAATAGACAGATTCGGCAGAGTTGGTACTGTATTCTGGTCACGAGGAAGAAAGTTCTCTACACACTCAATGAGTCGTCCTGAGGCTATCCAAAGAAATACGTAAAGCACTTGTACGATGGGAATCTCATGGACACAGGTTCATCAAATCATCTTTCAAAACAAAGAAGGAGGAATCATAATGAATGTTATCTAACGTTATACACCTTCCAACGATAATAACGATGATGATGATGATAAAGAATAGTTTTATGAGAGGCTGCAATCGATCATAGAGAAGTGATCAGGAAAGGACGTGACCGTACTGATGGGAGGCTTAAACGCCGAAGTTGGAATGGACAATATGGAGTATGAAGATATCATGGGACGACATAGGCTGACTGGGAGAAAGCAACGGGAATGTTGAGAGATTTGTGAATTCATATGCATTCAACAAAGTGGTTCTATGTAGCACTATATTCTCCCACACAAAACTACATGGGTCTCACCGGACCACACTACACAGAAATAGATCGATAATATCTGTATCACTAAACAACTCTGTAGGTCAATAGAAGGCGTGAGAACAATGATAGGAACTGACATATCTTCAGATCATCACAAGCTGGTGGTTGCCAAGATGAAACTGAAGCTAAAGAAGTATTTGACAACTGCAGAAACAACATTACAAAGATTTAATACAGCCTTCCTTCCAGACACTGACAAGCTCAACGAATTCAAAATTGATCTTCACAACAACTTCTAAGCCTCACAAGATCAACTCAGAAAAGAAGAAACCACTATGGAGGACAATTGGGAAAATTTCATAAAAGTACTAACTTCAACATGTCAAAGCACACGCCGAATGCACGAAAACAAACAAGCGAAGAGGGGCATCGGAGCTGAAAAGCAGAAATACGCGGAAGACCTAGCAATGACAGCGGAAATAGTTGCAAGAGAAGGAAATGTGAAACAACCATATGACACGACGAAGAAATTAGCAGGGAAATATAGTAAGTTAGAAAAACCGGTCAAGGACAATGAAGGCAAGACAATCACCGAGATCCAAGGGAAGAGTAACAGATGGGTAGAATACTTCGAGGAACTCTTGAATAGACCGGCACACTAAACCCACCCAATATCGAAGCAGCACACACAGACCTTCTTATTGATGTCACTTGACCAACGACGGAAGAAATCAGGACGATCATTAGACAAATCAGCGATTGGGAAGCGGTGGCACATGACCATCTGGAGCACTGAAGTCAAACATAAAAGCAACTGCAGTCATGCTCCACTTTTTATTCAGGAAAATTTGGGAGGAAGAACAAGCGGCATTGACAGACTGTCAAGAAGGTCACTTCATCAAAATACCAAAGAAAGGAGATCTGAGCAAATATGAGAACTACAAGAGTATCACATTACTATCGGTGCCAGGGACCTTTTTAACAGAGTGTTGCTGACCTGGATGAAAGACGCAGCAGACGCCCAACTTCGAGATCAACAGGCTGGATTCCATGAGGATCGGTCTTGCACAGTCCAAATCGCGACACTGTGGATCATCATTGAGTAATTAGTTGAATGGAACTCATGACTGTGCATCAACTTCGTCGACTATGATAATGTGGATAGGAGAACATTATGAAAACTTCTTCGACACTATGGAGCACCTGTCAACATCATCCGGAATTCATACGATAGACTACAGTGCAAAGTCGTGTATGGGGGACGGCTGACAGACGCATTCCAAGTCAGGACCGAAGTCAAACAGGACTGCTTACTCTTACCCTTCATCTTTATTTTGGTGGTCGATTGGATTATGAAAACCTTGATATTTGAGGGGGAGCACGGAATACAATGGACAGCTCAGAACCAATTAGACGATTCGGACTTCAGAGATAGCCTAGCCCTTCTATCCCATACACACCAACAAATGCATATGAAGAGAACACGTGTAGCATCAACCTCCGCATCAGTAAGCTTTGATCTACACAAACGAAAAGGCAGAGGAGGGAGAACACCAACTCAATCATACTTGATAGAGAAGCTCTTGAAGATGCGGAATCTTTCACATACTTGGTCACTATCATCGATGAACGAGGAGGATATGATGCAGACGTAAAGACGAGGATTGGCAAAACAAGGAAAGCACTGCTACAATTAAAGAACATATCAAACTCAAAACTACTTTCAACCAATATCAAAGTCAGAATCTTCAACGCGAACGTCAAGACAGTACTACTGTACGGAGCTGAAATGTGAAAAATTACTACAACCATCATAAAAAAGATACAAGCATTTATAAACAGTTGTCTACACAAGATACTCAGTATCCGTTGACTGGATACCATCAGCAACAGCCTACTGTAGGAGAGGACAAACCAGCTTCCATCCGAGGAGAAAATTAGGAAAAGACGTTGGAAGTGGATAGGACATACATTGTGGAAATCATCAAACTGCATCATGAGGCAATCCCTAACTTGGAATCCTGACAGGATAAGTGAAAGGGGAAGACCAAGGAAGACACTACTTTGAGAATCGGAAGCAGATATGAAGAGGATGAATAGCAACTGGAAATGACTAGAAAGGTTTGACCAGGACAGAGTTGGATGGAGAATGATGGTGGGCAGTATGTGCGCGTCCAAGAGGGTTAACCGGCATAAGTAAGTCAGAAAATTTCCATTAGTTTATTATTATTTTTACCATTACAGTGACTGGTAAAGATTGTCAAAAAAAACATAAAACAGGAGAAGAAAATTTATCAAGAATTTTATGATGCTTTCACTACTCAGTTGGCCAACAAGTTAAAATCGTACAGAAAAATAGATTATTTCACTCTTATGAATTAACATTATTCGAATGAAACCATTTAAATTCAGTTTACTAAATTATCATTTAAAATATAGAAAGTTTAAAAGTGAAAGTGAGGAAAAGTTTATAAAGCCAATGTAACAGCTAGAACTTATTTTCAAGCATCAAATGAAAATCACACATCGAGACAATAGAAATTGACTCGATTACAAATGACTCATCATTCAAAGAAAGTTAGTACATGGATAGAAACTTACTAAAAGTAGTCCATATTCACCTCTTTTGTATTATTCTAGCTTTAATCACTCTCACAAAATGTTTCAAAATTTGTTTCCTAAAAACAATTAACTAACCTTTTTTACCTTAGTTATAATTTCTCATCTTAAAAATCACCTTGTTTACCTTATTATTTCATGGAGATCACATTCATTAGCAAGAGCTTCAAAAACAAATTTAGGTAACATATCTAATTATAGAACGTCCTCAGTTGTGTTTGGCAAACCTATTTAGTTCCATAATCATAATATAGTAAATCACTTTATCTCTTATTATAACTAGAATGAAATAATAATATACTGAAAAAGAATTTTCAATCAGAATTCCAAATCCATAAGTTAAATTATCCGGTTGTTATAAAATTAAATTCTTCACAAAAATAACAGTTAAACATCAGGCTAATCACAGAGGTGGTCACTTCTAAGCATCTAACCTCTAACCGTTGCTCAATTGAGAAAATTAAGTCTTTCATGATTATTAGTAAACCAATAAGTCAGAAGTTTCTAAAGTTTAGTCCGATCTCTGTATCCGAAACCCGATTTATTTTTACAAAACGAATTAGTCTTCATTTTTTCCGTAGCTTGGGTGGCGGGATAACATATTGTTTAACTTTTGCCCTCATTTGGTTATTTTGTTACAACATTCTTTTCTATCTATTTATAGTCTACAATTTCGTTGTCAACTATTTAAGCCTGTCATTTTATTCGACTACATAACCACCTATTTATATCCCTATACTTATTTTTTCATAACAGTGTTGTAGGATATTCTTTTGCCTTTAATATATATTACCTACACTGTGCAGGTGAGTCTGTATACAAAGTTCCAACTAAATTCATTTTTTAAGATCATGAACTGGCCAATGTTAGGCCACCATTGAAAACGTGGGAGCGCTGAATGGCCGTTTCATCCTAGGACGTGACTCGTCAGCAGTATGCATCCACGATTCCGTGCGCGGGACCCTCGGTCCAAATTTTCAATGTTGGTCCAACATTGGTCGGTTCATGATCTCAATTAAAACTCAACAATCTCCACAACACTATACTGAAAAATTCATTTATACAATTTTTTCAGTTACTTTACTTGTCATTTTAGTTTTGAAATATTACACGTTACAAGAAGTCAATGAGGGCCTAACTTAATAAAGTGAATTCACATAATACTACTTAAATTGTTCATGTAGTTTTTTTCTCCTAAATATGAAAACGATCGAAAGGATATAAAGTGTCACTATCCGTTTATTAACTTTTATATAAAGGAACAACAAATGGCATGAAGACGGAGATAATAAGTTTAATTCTATGCTGTGTTACAAATAAAAATCACATCAATTTTGGGGTTTCTTAAAGGTCATAATACACCATGGACTGAGTAAAGTAAGACAAAACGAAAAAAAGAAGCATTTTATTTTATAGGTTAGTTGAGGAATTACAATGTTTATCACTTAGATTCGTTCCCTAAAGATATGAGGTAGCATTTTATTGCGGAGTTCAACAATATAAGTAGATTGCTTTGTAGTATTTATTAACATTCTCACGTAGCTCAAACGAATTACTTATGAAAACTAGTTTACCTTTAGACTATCAAGTTGGTTGAATCGATTCTTCAACTAGATTATTATCATAAGTTATTGTAACATACAGGATTTTTATGAAGACATATAAAAATATTGAAGCAATCAATGATTATAATGAAAACGATTGCATAACTACATTTACTTGTTAACAAGTACGAATTGACAGTAAGAGAACAGGTGTACCAGTAGTGATAGAAAGTAGGTCAAACTAGGATAGATCGACTTTAAATTAATAATCACAAAAAGTTAATAAAATTACATAATTACAGGTGCACATCCGTTGTGTGCTCAGAACCATCAATCTCATGTTAATATACCTAGTTTGTAGAAGCTTTAATTTATTAAACTTGAGTAATTTGACAAAGTAGCTTATCTAGACACTTTTGATCGCTAGCATGTTAATCTCATGATGTGATTGAACTTAATCCTTTAAATCCAACGTAATATTTTTCAGGATTATTGTTTTCATCAGAAATTTGAAATCTTACTAATATTCCAAAATCTTAATCAATGTTTCCAGTTGTATAAAAAGTAATCAAAATAGTTTTAATCTAGAAAATTGTTTGTCTGATACTTGAAATGTCTAAGATAATATGATGAAACCACTTCTAATTCTCGTGAAATATCTGGTGACATATTTCGAATATAAGCATGTGATATATTTTCAGGATTCAGTTATTGTAAAGCCTCTGAAATATATTTGTTAGATTATTTTGCTTTTGATTCTGTTCTTAGAAGTATTATGTTAAAAATCATTTATTACAGAAAACATTCAATAAAAACTAAGTGTATAGGTGTGCTTTTATTTTGTCTGGAAGTAACAGTATACTATATATTGCGTACGTCTTTATTTACTTTATTCAATATACATAATAAACTGTTAGTTATTTTTTACATCTGTTAAACGTACACTTTCTTCAATAGCCTTAATGTGTATGTAAAATTGAATATTTCGACTTGGGATCGTTTTTCAATAAATTTGTTTTTCATTTAACACCTCATTGTCTTTAGATAATTAACCGTAAATCAAAAATTGTAAATTTTACATTTAGGCATAACGAATAGTCAGAAAACTTACTGTTTTAACACAAAGCACAATATTTGTTATCTTTCATACTCCAAGTTTTATTCCATTTCTCTTGGTTTCTTTTTGTTGTAGTAATGTCAAGGTGAAGTCTATTTTTAAAGTGTTCTGTTAAGATATTAAGGATTTCCCACATTTCATCAGGCTATTTATCAACAATAATTTGTTTGATAAGAAATTATAGGGTGTCTCAAGAGAACTTGAATGCTAGAAACAGTATCAGTCTTGAATTTTCAATTTGACTATGAATAAATTAGTAAAAGGATATTTAATCTGTTACACGTTATATTTTATCAGACACAAGTTATTCATTTTAATTAAGAACAACTTAAAGCATAACATTCATGAAAATGACTCGTCAATGTAAAATAATTCGTCAAAGTTCAAGTGTACTTTAAACAATCTCTGGTTAGAAATTGAAAGGGTTAAAATGTTTTATATGTGACTGACAATCTAAGATTACGAGATCATAGTCACTATTGTAAAGATATGCTGTTTTACCTTTAATAGCAAACTTTATTTTACTACCCCATATATGGTGATCTTGTTAAGTTTTTTTTAAAATCTCATAACTTATTAAAATGTGATATGGACTTGGTTGATTAACACATATTGTCCTAATTATTTATGATATTGGTAAACAAAATATGTAACAATCGTGAAATATTTACTTCACATCAACCACATCATGAAATTATTGAAGTTTATAAATAGACTATCAGTTGATTACAAAGTTACTGATAACTGCTTGATTTAACATGAATATAGTTGGATTGGCTGGAATTAGATTTTAAAATATTCTACTGATTAATATGTACATAATGTCTACTGATATAAGACATATTTATGATACAATATATAGTATCCAATTTACTTACTCATATCCTAGGTAAAGTTGAATGATATGCGTATTCGAGGGCTGGCTGTGTTCAGCTTTGTAGTTGTTTTATAATAAGAACTGAATAACTGACTTATTAATTTTAACTTTCTAACTGCTTTCCTGAATAAACCACATATATGTGACTGTGATTAGAAGTGATTCATTGTTTACATTGTTAGTTAGTCTCTGTTCAATACTTAATGAAGTTTACCAATTATAAATACTGTTAAAGTATGTTAAATTTAGTGTTGGAATCAGATGAATTAAGTGGGTGGACTTATGTTTTTATTTTAACTAATTTTTATGATTTTCTATTTATAGCCGTTTAATACTTGGAGCATATTTGTTACAAAACTAATTTTTTTACATATTGTCAAATTTGTTTAGGTAGTCATAATAATGAATCTAATGAAGTGTGTTTACTGACAGCTTTTGATTAATTCTCGGAAAAGGTTTTAGAAACTAGGGAAATGATTAAAATACTTCGTTTGGTGAGAAACTCTTTAGCGAGTTATAGTTAGATAATGAACAGTATTCTTATTGATTTTGTCATGTTTCTAGACACTTCTCCAATCTCATAGTCTTAAAACTACCCTTGTTTTTTTTACATGAACTAATCTTAATAATAAGGCTTCTTTACTACATTTCACCTTATGGTTTCTTATTCATCGGTTGAGTGTAGAATACTTCTAGTATTTATAATTCGACAAGGAAACTTATGTATAAGTATTTAAGTAGTCAAGTCATCATTGCATATTTTATGAGGGTAATATTCATAAAGAACTGGTAAAAGATGCTGTTTGTGAAGTTGATTAATTAGCAATAAAAAGTAACGTATCGATAAAGTTTTAAGTAGGGATCGTTGTTCATCGTAAATTGACTAAGGTTGAAAGTTTTACCATTAGATTCCTAAACAGAAAACTGTGTGTTGTATATTCCATTAGTGAATAATAATGATTATGCATTTTATGTGAGCTTATGAGTACATACATACTGTAACGTGTTGAGGTGTGATGAATTATTTCAATTTTTTTATGGTTCCTAGTATAATCTTAACCCTAGCCAAAATGTATGAAACGTCAAGTCTTCTGATTAGAATGAATTTGCTATTTAAAATTCATATACTTCCTTCAATTATTTTAATTTGTGATACATTACGTATGCAGTTTCAGGATATTTACCGGAAATCTTCAACGATTCGTACAAATACGGATTTATACCTGATAAGTGTATTTGGTTTTACTTAACCATATTCTGATATCTGAAGAACTTCGTCTGTGTACATGGGATTTTCGTTATTCTAACAAGGAATTCGATATATTTTGAATAATTTTTTTTTATTTACATATACTTTTTGTTTCTTTTATTGTATTTGATCATAAAAATATTTAGAAATTTTTGTTTATAAATCAACAACCTCACACTTATTTACATTAATAACATCAAACACCTAGTGTGTATGCGATTCGGTTACATTTTTGAGACAAAAACGGGGTCTTCTAGAGAAGTGATGAATATATTTCAATAATCTTGCATTTACGCGGAATGTTATATCTTTTTCTAATTCATCAGTCTCATTAATAAACAATAAATCTCGTATACTTTCAGATTTTATCATACTTTGTTACCAGTTTCAATTGGATTTGTCACGGTAGGTAAATAAGGGTTCACACTAGTATTTTACCAATTATTTTCCAATATATGCGTTTTTAAACTTCATTCGCAGCTTTGATAATAATGTAGAATGCATTGTAAATAGTTAACAAAATCATGACGAAACAAAATGAATCGATATTTTGCCTTAAACTGAGTTGTCAATCATTATACATGAATCAAGTTTATTATAGAAATGTCTTTTTGATATATCCAATACAAAAACCTTGTCGTATGATTAAAGATTAATTTTATTTATTACGCTTCAGTAAAATAAGAATAAGTACACATTTGTTTTAGTCCATTCGAAAATAAAACAACAAAATGTTATCACTGGTCGTCGCTAATTGTTATGTTGGAATAGCTTATCACTTAGACTCGTAAAGCAAAGAACCACTGAAATTCCCATGACGCGAAAGTAAGAACACGAAGACTGCTAAAAACGAAAATATATATATATATATATATATATATATATATATATATTGGCTTGTACATCCATTTTAATTATTGATTAGTACGAATCACATATATGAAAAATACTCAGACTTATCCCATGCTACATGTCATGCTGAGAATAGTTCATGTCAATTGACTACAAGAAATCATATGTTATACCGAATAAAATATCATACGGGAAAACAAACCGAAGGCTACACTATGTAATTATAACATTGAATTTAAACGGAAGTAATGTTGAACAAAAATCATAATGAGTAAATCAGTCTAATTCTAACTTTTCTTCCCTTCATATCACAAAGTTATTCAGAATAAGAACAGTTCAATGATTTGAAGAGTAATGAATGATCTGTGAGTACACTAAAGTCTATCAAAAAGTCGTCTATTGAAGTTAATTATGATTGATCGACTTCACATTTCTTGTAATAAATATATTTTTGTTATATCCCAATGAGTAGGAAATTGTATTATTATTATTATTAACTTTCTACCCAATGTTCAATTTATTTGAAACTATCATGTTGGACCTCAGCATTGATATTCACAATTGTCTGTCATTTAAAACTCAAAAATCACTTTCCGCAACTTATATAACAAAATTAAATTTGAATAATCTCAGCGAATAAAGTTTAAATAATCCCAGTGTTTTGTCTGGCAAATTAGACCGATTATCAAATGTGTACTAATTTGTTTTAAATTATTAGTTTAGAGGAAACACGAACAGTTCAAAATATTGAAGTGATTATATAATATTGCGATAAACTATTTATCCTGAGCAATGAAATTCTGACCATAGTTTGAATACGATTTAATGTGCTTTGAGTGGATCTGTCAGTGAAACTATTTCATTTGCTCTTTATAAATCTTACAAATCTTTCAACACTTATAGTGATATTCTGCTTTTTTTTGCTGATTTTATTCAATTATTATTTAACCAAACCGATAAATTGTTCATGAGTATTTTCAAACCGATCGTTATATACTGAAAGACTTTTTCATGTAAAAAAAGCTGTTTCGTAGTTAATTATAAAACACAAAGAATTTTCATTGAATAAAACGTAATTAGACCAAGTGACATTTATTTTTAATTAATGATTGTGTAAACCTGTCGTAAAGCCGTGACTGAACTATAAAGAAAAAGTAAACTGAATTTCGTAATAGATATTTGCACACTCAAGACTCGATCGACTGAGGCTTTTTGTAACTAATATAAAAACCAGATTATTACTTTAGCCAGATCGATTCAGAGTTCGGTCTAATTAATTGAACATCAGAATAATTATATTAACAAAACAATTTTATTACTAACATTTAATCATACATTCTTTTGGTTTATGTACCTTAAAATTTGAAAAGTGGTGTTGTTAGTTATTCCAAAAACAAAGATTTAGTTATTTCCTACGTGTGTACAAAAATACCAAATATATAAACATGTTAAATAAATAGACTTTTAATTATAGATGAGTTTATTGAACTTGATCTGAGAAACATAGAAATGTGTAGACGTAAATCTACCTGTAAATTATAATTATAAATGCAAACATATATCCTTCGATCTTTTCAAGAGAGGCCGCCATTCAACATTCAATGGTTTATTTGAAACAGTAATTAGCTGTTTTCATTTACTGCACTGTCATCGGTTTTAATTATGATCCTCACACTGATCTTTTTTCAGCCAACCTATCTAAATCAGTCAGCTACGTTAACAATGATCGCATCTCATCCCACTAATTGTCCTGTTAAGACATCCAAATTAAACGGAATTCCTATGACAACAAAGTGTTATATATATTATCAAACAAGTTTGTAATAATAGACTAGCTAGGTGGTTATAAAACATAGTACAAAAGTTTTAAAGAGTATTAAGACAATTCAAGAAATACGGCTGATCAGTTAAGATTTTAGACTTATGAAATTCCCTCATTTTATCTACATTTTATGTGTAACAAGAAGACAGTCATGTGTGATGTACATTCAATTTTAGGCTCGTTCGCTAAATATAGGTTTGTGCATTTGGCTTTAAGCAACAATGGTTGTGTGGCTCTTAGTAGTATCACCTTCTTCCCCTAACCATAGTAGATGAAGAGAGAGAGATACGAAATTACAACCTATTGTTTAAAAGTTGAATGTTCCAACCATTTAGCCACCAGTTCATACTGATGTAGTTGAGATTTAATGTTTATTATTGTTTTACTATAACTGAGTTTATTTGTCCTTATTCATAGTTACAGTAAGTTATTCACAGTAGGTTACGTTTTAGTTCTTTTTTGTCTGGTCGAAGAAACATTATACTAATAAATTAAGAATTTAAAAGGTCTGTCAGCTAATGAAATGCTAATCATGTATTCTTGTTTGAAATAATAACGTGAAAAACTATCTGGCTACGTCAGTGACAAAAACGAAACAATATCAAACTTTCTCTTTCTCTTAAATAATGCATACTTTTATAAAATATTTAAGAATATGTCTGGTGATAAACTTCCTACTCAGCTTCAACTATTT